AGAAATGTGTATTCAAGTCTTGTGCCCATTTTTGAATCTGGGTAGTGGTGGTTGTTAGAATGCAGGAGTTTTTTTATATATTCTGGCTGTTAACCCCACATCAGACATGTGACTTGCATGTTTTCTCCCATTCTGTGGGGGTTGTCCTTTCGCCGTGCAGATAGTGTCCTTTGTTAGATGAAAGTTTTAAATTTTGATGTAGTCTAGTGTGTGGTTTTTTAAAATTGCCTATGCTTTTTGGGTCACACGTAAAATCTGCAAAATCCAGTGTCATGAGGTTTTTCCTGGTATGTTTTCTAAGAGTTTTATAGTTTTAGCTTTAGATGTACATCCATTTTTTTAAATTCATTTTAAAGATTTTATTTACTTATTTTTAGATAAAGGGGAATGGAGGGAGAAAGAAAGGGAGAGAAACATCGATGTACTGGTTTTCTCTCACACACCTCCAACCAGGACTTGGCCTACAATCCAGACATGTTCCCCAACCAGGAATCAAACCAGTGACCTTTTCGTCCATGGGATGATGCCTAACTCACTGAGCCACCCAGTCAGGGCTCCAACACCATTTGTTGAAAAGACTGTCCATTATTACTGTTGGTGGCCTTGTTACTCTTGTCTAAAATCACTTTACTGTATATTGTATATAAATATACAGTAAATATACTGTATATTTACTGAAGGATTGTTTCTGGGCTCTCTATTCTGTTTCATTTGTCCTTATGTCCATCTTTATGCCAGTTCCACACTGTTTTTGACAGCTGTAACTTTGTAACAGCTTTGAAATCAGAAAGTATGAGGCCTCCAATTTTGTTACTTTTCAGCATTGTTTTGCTGTTCAGAGTCTGATAACAAGGGACTCGTTTTTTCCCCTAAATTTCTTAAGTTCTTTTACTTTACTAATACCTGAGAGCTAGACTAGTCCTATGTCTCACCTAAAGTAAGAGACCTGGACTAGAATCTGTGTCTCTTGGTTTGCAGTTCAGGTTTTTTTACTTTGCCACACAGAGAATTTTTTTTCTTACATTATAGCCCATAAAAGAAAGGTCTTTACAAACATGCACACAATCTCTCTTCATAAATATACTTGGACTCCCAGCATCTATGTCTTTGATCTCTTATGGGTTATTCTCTGTTTATAAACAGTTAAATCTAGGTACTGTCAGTTTTACCTGAGAAAACACTAAATCTCATACAGATATCCTGATATCCATATGTTAAAGTTGGCTTTAGGATGAACCCAACACCTAGCACAGCGGAGTAGGACCCACTTAATGCTTTTTGGTTATGCGCTATGCAGAATGGAAAGCCAAGTTCTACTAAAGCTCGTTCACTTTTGCTCACCTCTTGAGTAGAAGATGTGTCACTCTGTCACCAGGTTATTCGATGACTTTCCCCTTCTGTCTGTGCTGCTGTGCTTTCTGTCCCGTTCAGATACCGCGCTGTACCCTTCCGTGGCAGTGCTGGCAGCGTGCTTCTGGCAGTGACGGTAACCCGAAAACTAAGTGAGACAGACTATAAGTTACAATTTTCATGACACTAGAGCTAGTGTGTGGAGTAAATCTATCTTTAACTAGAATTTCAGAAAATTTAAAGAAACTTTTTTAAAGAAAACTTTTTGTATCATTTTTAAAAAACCTTTTCCAGTGGAAAACAAGATACTTTACTTGGAAGGAAAGTACTTACGTCCATTTTAGCTCTGTTCAAACCCTTTTCACTGGCAAAAAGAGGTTTACACAAAAATCTTGGTGACCAGGAGCCAACAATACCCATATAAGAATCAGTGCTTTTTCGATCCGGTGGTGCTCAGAATTGTTCAGTGACTGCCCTTTGTCTCTAGACATCCCGCTGTCTGTGGGTATCATCGATCCCAGGGCCAATCCAAACCAACTAAACACAGTGGAGTTCCTGTGGGACCCTTCCAAGAGGACGTCTGTGTTTATTCAGGTAAGGCATTGCAAGTGGGCGTCCGGTTCTGAAGAGCACCTCTCACGACTGGTCTGTTTCTTGAAAAAACACGCTGAGTTGGGAACCTTTACAGGTGCAGACTCCTCAACATGTTCCTGAGAGCAATAAGGAGTTTCTGAATTGATCTTCTAATTTCCCCAATTTATTTACTTGTTTCTCCCCCAGTGCTTACTAACAGCTGCATAATAAGGGTGAGGCAAAAGTAGGTTTATAGTTGTTCATGTGAAAAATAATACAATAGCTAATAAATTCATAACACAAGAATAAACTGTGTTTTTTATACTAAGAACTATAAACCTACTTTTGCCCCATGCTGTATTTAGTTCTGAATGGACCGTAAGTTACCTAACAATTATTTAGCATTGAGATTGTCCTAATTTTTCACTATTTTTTTTAATTTAAATTATTTTATTGTCATTCAATTACAGTTGTCTGTATTTCCTCTCCCTTCCCCCCTAATTTTTCACTACTATCCATAAAGTTATTTTGAACATCTTTATACTTAAAGTTTGATTTGCATATCTGATTATCTTCTTTGGATAGAGTCCTTGAAAATTCTTATTTGTCATAAGGAGAACTATTAATTTGTTTATTAAGTAGTTCCCATAAGATGTTTACTGTGTTAAGTATAACACTTTGTATACATAATTTTATTTAAGACTTTTACCAATAATCCTGTGGAGTAGGAATAGTTCTCGAGGCTTAGAGAAGATAATAACTGACCCAAGCTAGTATTTGGGTGATCAGAATTCCACTGTTCACATTTGCCAAGGTCTCAGACTTTATGCAGTAGCCAAACAAACCTTTTCCCCCTCATTGCCAGCTTTCCTAGTTACCATTTTGCCAGTGTGGATGGCGCCTCCCCTTTCTAAAGTCTATCTAGAAGTCCAGGAAACTTTTACTAGCAGAACTCATTTCTCTTTTATGTTACCTCTATATTCTTTGAAGCAGTTAATGGATTTAATTCCTCACAGTAGTTTTTGTAAACATTAGATCTGTATGTTTACTTTGTTTGCATTTGTAAATCATTTAAGTTTTCCTCAGTTCCATCATTAGTGTAAATTCTTCTAGGTAAAAACAGTAAAAGTTTTTCTGGTAGGTGTGCATTATGCTTTTTAAAGGTTTTACTGTTAGGAGTTGCTCAAAACATGTCATGGACAGGTCTGTCCAGCGGCAGCACTGAAGCCCAGATGCTGTGTCCCCCTCAGGTGCACTGCATCAGCACAGAGTTCACCATGAGGAAGCACGGCGGGGAGAAGGGTGTGCCGTTCCGCGTGCAGATCGACACCTTCAAGGAGAACGAGAACGGGGAGTACACTGAGCACTTGCACTCGGCCAGCTGCCAGATCAAAGTCTTCAAGGTATCCTGGCACTGTGGCGGACTCGGGAATGACCCTCCTTCCTCGTCTCTCACTGGGGGCCTTCAGTCACCAAGTTAGAAAGTCAGCTTGTCTTTTTACAAAAACTAAGAAAACTCAATGACTTTCTTGGAATGCCCTTAAAGCCTATGGAAGTCACAAGCTCTTCTAAAAGCTCACAAAGTTATGAAAACGTGACAGTTTTGGTTACATTTGTACTTGATCTTTCCTTATTTTGGTTTTTATTTATTTTTGTCACATGGATAAATTTGTTTTCATTGCAAAGGTTTCATGAATACCAGAGTATTCAGAGCACGAAGCGGACATTCCCCTTTTACCGCTCTTGCCCTGACTCCCTAGCCCCTCCCTGGAGGCGGCTCCCCACTGTCACAGTTTGGGGGGGTGTGTCCTTCCAGTCCACTTCTGTGCTCTTCCATGCACACGTACATGGGTGAGCACAGACTTTCTTTTCTTTCAAACATAAATGGGATGATACTGTGTGAACTGTTTTGAGGCTTGCTTTTTTCTACGTGCTTTAGAGATCTTTCCATGTCTATGGCTATAGATCTCTCAGTATTTTTTAACTCTGTCAAACATTTAAATTTCCTAGTGTCCCTTTTATGTGCAATGATGCATTTTGTCTTTGTATCATTGTAATATATCTTTGTTTCACTTGTGACTAGTTAAGTTTTGAGAAGTAATAGTGTTAGGTTGAAAGGTGAGTTTAAAACAAAGTATTTCTCGTTTCAGCCCAAAGGTGCAGACAGAAAGCAAAAAACAGACAGGGAGAAGATGGAGAAGCGGACGCCTCATGAGAAGGAGAAATATCAGCCTTCCTACGAGACAACCATACTCACAGAGGTAAAAAGGGTCGCTTTGGCGACAGTTTCAGTCAATACTTTTTACTTTTAAGAGAAATCTAATCATTTTACAGTATATGCATATATCAAGGCATTATGTTCTAATTTACCTAAAACTAATATAATGTCATGTCATTTATATCTTAATTTTTTTAAAGATTTTATTTATTTATCTTTTAAAGAGGAAGGGAAGGAGAGAGGGAGAGAAATATCAATGTATGGTTCCCTCTCGTGAGTCCCCCTCTGGGAACTGGCCTGCAACCCAGGCATGTGCCCTGACTGGGAATCGAACCGAGATCCTTTGGTTCACAGGCCTGTGCTCAATCCACTGAGCTACACCAGCCAGGGCTATATCTTAATTTTTTAAAAATTGCTTCCCACCTGGTCAAAACTTACTTATCCTCTTAGTTATGGGGGGAATCTGAGGAATTAAAATTTACTGATCAAGATGAGCTATTCAAGTGACAGTGTTTTGGTGGAATACTAGAGTCAGTTACACTTTTTAGTATCTAAGTTGTCCTTTGTTTTAGTGTTCCCCGTGGCCGGAAATCACATATGTCAATAATTCCCCATCACCTGGCTTCAACAGTTCCCATAGCAGTTTTTCTCTTGGGGAAGGGTAAGTCTGGGAAATGGAATTGGCTTGTGTTTGTCCTAAATGTGTATTTTTAAATCATCATTCTGGAAACTAAATCTTTCCTAACCAATAAGTATTTCTATTTGATCAGTCTTTGGTAGATTTATGTAGTGACTGAGGTTTGGATTACCTTCAAAAGAAATTGAAAGAAGGGTTTTGTTTTACTTGTTTTTTTTTCTTTCTGCCTAAGTCTGTATAACTTGTCTCATAGAGAGAGCACCAGAATAGGTTAGACTTTGTTGCTATAGAAAGCTCAAATTGTGTTAGACAATTTTGATCATCTGCTTGCAAGAGACTGAAAGAGTTTTATGTACCCTTTTTGTCTTTTTCCCCCTCCCATTAGAAAGTCATATTTATTGTCAGTTTTTAGTGATTCAGGGACTGATTTTCTGGGCTTTTCACTTCTCCCTGTTACTGGTTATTTGTGGTTCTTTCCCTTCCTGATCACATGCTCCCTGCAGAGTGGTCATCAGGAACTGAAACACAAGTCTACAAATACTGATATCTGTTTGCTACGTACTGAGAATGATTCTAACACCTAGTTGTCATGAATCTTTGCTAATCAGGGGAAGAAGGTTGAACATGACAGTTAAAGAGTGGCTTATCTCCATAGCATTTAGCATGTACTCCACATAGGCCATATTGAAATTTCAAGATTGATTGACTGATTGATTGATTGATTTTTAGACAGAGGGGAAGGGAGAGAGAAAGAGAGGGAGACAAACATTTATGTGTGGTTGCCTCTCGTGTGCCGCCACTGGGGACTTGGCCTGCAACCCAGGCATGTACATGTTGGATTCCCTGACTGGGAATCCAGCGGGCAACCCCTTGGTTCACAGGCGGGCTCTCAATCCACGGAGCCACACCAGCCAGGGCAAGATTACTTTTATATTCTGATATTTTGCTTATATTCTTATAAATTTATGTTAAATTGTCTTTATGTCATAATTTGTCTGATCAGTTCCAATTTACTGGAATCTTGATTTTTTTCAATGTTTCCAATAAAAAATGTTGCAAATGATAGTTTCTCCTCCCTCACCCTCTAAAAAGTCTTTATAATAAATGAATACATAATAGAAGTATTGGGTCCAAGAGTAAGAATGTTTTATGAGAGAGCACAGATTCCTTTAAATATCTAGTTTAGGACTTAGGAGAGTCAAGAATGAGATGATGAACCCTAGTGTATGTCATGGACTCATGCTTTCATTATAAATGTTTCTTTAGAAACGGTTCACCAAACCACCAGCCAGAGCCGCCCCCTCCAGTCACAGATGTAAGTTTAAAGTTAAATGTCAGCTATTTGCAATATCTAATAATACTTTGATGACTGTGCAGTTCAGTACAAGTGCCCAGCTTCTAAGGTGTGTTCATTTCTTCATTAAATATTTATTGAATTTTGACTGTGAACCCAATACGATGCTATGGACCAGATATATAAAACAAGAAACATAGGACGCTTGTATTTAAGGAACTTATTAGTGGGGGATGAGGAGGATGGAAAAATCTAAGGGTATCTTGCATGGTTAGAGAAGGAAAAAATATATATAAACAATTTACCAGCAAACCAGGCCTGGCTAAGTGCGGGTGTGTTTGGCTACTTCTTTTTTTTTTTTAAAGATTTATTTATTTATCTTCAGAGGGGAAGGGAAGGAGAGAGAGAGAGAAACATCAATGTATGGTTGCCTTTGGTGCATCCCCTGCTGGGAACTGGCCTGCAGGGAACTGGCCTGCAGGGAACTGGCCTGCAACCCCAGGCATGTGCCCTGACTGGGAATCGAACTGCGATTGTCTGGTTCGCAGACCCGCGCTCAATCCACTGAGCTACACCAGCCAGGGCGTGTTTGGCTACTTCTTATCCTACAGTGTAACATTTACCTTTTTTTAAGTTCAATCTATTTAGTTATCCCGAAAATTGCTTTCTCTCTTTCAGAACCTCTTGCCAACAACCACACCTCAGGAAGCTCAGCAGTGGTTGCATCGAAACCGGTTTTCTACGTTCACGAGGCTTTTTACAAACTTCTCAGGTTAAATTTGCTTACCCTTTTGTTTCCCCCGCCTGGGGTACTCTTCTACATTCTGGGGCCGCCTGGCAGCCCTGTGAGGGTATTGTATGTGTGTGCTATGAAATACTTAAAAAGAAAGACCTCTTAGTTTAAACTTACTTTAATTTAAAAATATTCATTTTTTTACAACAGTTTAAAAATGTACTATATCGTATTTATGAAGGAGCATTTGCAGGTAGTCTGAAATTTTCTCCTCATGTCACAATATTGTATTTTATTTGCACATTCCACTTTTATTTAACACCTTCAGGGTAACCAGTCATGGTAGGAATACTCAGATGGGTAAGGCGTACTTCCTGATCATTTATCATCTATTACCAAAAATCACATCCAAATATCCCCGCCCTCCCCCACAAAAAAGGGTAAACAAGTAGTTGTGATGTAGTAGAAGCAAACTTAGGCATTTGGGGTTAAGGAGCATGTGTGATACATGAGAGACGAGGAGTTTGTTGATCAGGTAGTGGAAAGCTGTTTCAGGCAGGAGGAACAACTTCTCATTTGATGTCATCGGTATCACGAAAGTACAGGGTTAAGTGGAAAAGTAATTGGATGGGAATTGAGGTGGGAGAGGAAGCAGGGGCCAGGTGGTGGAGGACCTTATGTACCATGCAAAGGGATTGTAATGTAGTGGCAGTGAAGTGTCCTTGTAACAGAGCCCATTTTAGCGGTTATTAACAAAGAGAGTCTATGCCTCTATCACCCATTTTCTTATATTTATTTCAGGGGCAGATTTATTGAAACTAACTAGAGATGATGTGATCCAAATATGTGGCCCTGCAGATGGAATCAGACTTTTTAATGCATTAAAAGGCCGGTATGTGATTAGTGTTAAAATATCAGTGAGGTTGGATTTCAAATGGATTTGGATTCAGGGTCTCTTCACAATACTCATTATACAGTTAAATATATCTCGTCAAAACATTCTTTTTGAATGCTAGCTATGTACCAAATAAACAAAGATGAAAAATATCCTTTCTCACACTTGATTCAAGGAATTCCTTATGATGTCCCGTTTTTTATTTTCAGGTAGTTTTTTCATTCAATAAATATTCATTGTTACTATTATGAGCCATTTAGGCTAAAGGATACATTGGTGAGCAAAGTAGACAGGGTACCCATTATCGTGGAGACTACTTTCTAATGGGAAGAGAGATAGAGATATAAACAGTAAGGATTTTGGGTAGTGATAGTGCTTTGAAGGAAAACAAAACAAAACAAAAAGAAGGTTCTGGCCTATGGGGTACCCAGAATTTGGTCAGGAGAGATCTTTCTGGGGAGTGGTTATTTAAACTGAGTTATGAGAAGACTGGCATCTGTGAGGTCGTGCTAGGGAGGAGCCTTCTAGGCACAAGGAACAACAGATAAAAAGGCTCTGAATCAATTTTACCTGGAGAAGAGATCAGTCTTAAGGTTGGGTAGGAATTGCTTATGTGTCTGCTTACAAATATTACTTATAATACAAAGAGTAATTTGTAGTCCCAATTTATGATTTCCAGTTTCTAGTAGGTACTAGTAGTATTGATGGAAAACACGTGTAGGTTGATGCTGTAGAACCAAATCAGTGACTAAATAATGAAACAGATTGTGAACTGTTTGTGTTTGTGAATATCATAAGAGTTATTAGGTGGGCCATAAACTTGGAAAATTTTAAGAAGTGAAATTCAAGGTTTAATGATTTAAAGAAGAAGAATGGAGCTTTCATTTTTTAAAGTATTTTATTGATTTATTTTTAGAGAGAGGGAAAGAGTGGGGGAAAGAGAGGGAGAAAAACATTGATGTGTGAGATACATTGATCCGTTGCCCCTTATATGCCACATCTGGGGACCCGGATGGCAACCCAGATATGTGCTCTAACAGGGAATTAAACTTGCAACCATTTGGTTTGCAAGCTGGCACTCAATCCACGGAGCTACAGCCAGGGCTGGGTCTTTCATTTTAAATGTATCATCTCAAGATCATTTAGAAATAGGGAGTAATGAGGACTTCCAACCAAGATGGAGGTGTGGGTAGATATACATTGCCTCCTCACACAACCAAAAGAAGGACAACAACAAATTTAACAACAAAAAATAGCCAGAACTGCCAGAAAAATCAAACTATATGGAAGTCCGACAACCAAGGACTTAAAAAAGAAACATACATCCAGACTAGGTAGGAGGGGTGGAAATGGGCAGCCAGGGCAGAGAGGACGTGTGGCAAGGCAGCTGCTGGAGTACTGAGTGAGTGAGGTGGTAGCCGGTGGTCACATATTTGTGTGTGGATTAACCTGGAGGAAAATGGGGGAGCAAGACAGACCGCACAACCCAGGGTTCCAGCATGAGCAAAGAAAGGCTCAAAACCTCTGGCTGTAAAAATCTGTGGGTGTTGCAGTGAGAGAAACTCCCAACTTCATAGGAGAGTTCGTTGGGGAGACCCACGGGGTCCTAAAATGGACAAACCCACTCACTCAGGAATCAGCACCAGAAAGGCCCAATTTGCTTGTGGGTAGTGGGGGAAGTGACTGAAAGCCTACAAGAGCTGAGCAAGTGGCATTGTTCCTTCTCAGACCCCTCCCCCACATACAGTGCCACAAGGCAGTGAAGTGGGTTGCCCTGCCCTGGCGAATACCTGAGACTCCACTCTTTACAATGTAACACCTGTGCCAACAAAGAAATATGGTCCAAAGGAAAGAACAGATCAAAACTCCAGAAAAAGAACTAAGCAACAAAGAGATCGCCAACTTATCTGATGCAAAGTTCAAAACACTGGTAATCAGGATGCTCACAGAAATGGTTGAGTATGGTCACAGAAGAGAGGAAAGAGTGAAGGCTATGAAAAGTGAAATAAAAATATACAGGGAACCAACAGTGATGGGAAGGAAACTGGGACTCAAGTCAATTATTTGGACCAGAAGGAAGAAATAAACATCAATCAGAACAGAATGAAGAAACAAGAATTCAGAAAAATGAGGAGAGGCTTAGGAACCTCCATGACAACTTTATTAAATGTTGCAACATCCAAACCATAGGGGTGCCAGAAGGAAAAAAAGAAGAGTGAGAAATTGAAAACTTATTTGAAAACATAATGAAGAAGAACTTCCCCAATCTGGCAAAGGAAATAGACTTCCAGGAAGTCCAGGAAGCTCAGAGAGTCCCAAAGAATTTGGACCCAAGGGGGAACACACCAAGGCACATTTTAATTACATTACTCAAGATTAAAGATAAGAGAATCTTAAAAGCAGCAAGAGAAAAGGAGACAGT